CAAGAGAAGCGGCAGTGTAAGAGAAAGACAATGCTAATTCTTAGTGATCTCTTTAATTAATCTTAACGATCGTTACGGTGAAAGTTTTTTGTTTTTGTATGGAAATTTTTCCATGGCGATTACGCATCTGCGCAGTCCGAAAAAAAGCAAAATATATTTTCACATTAAAATAATTTTTTCTATACTGTCAAGACATTGTTTTACAAAATATATTATATCGCGTTGACGTTTCATTCTGTTGTATGTGAACAAAGTACCACACTTTCTGTGTTCTGCTGTGCTCCGTTTCTAGAACGACATGTTTCACACACACATGTTTCACACACACACACAAACACACACACATGATAGAACAAAAATTGACAGAATCCTTGTTTTGAAGATAAATAGAAATCGCCGGTCGTTAAAGTCATTAGAACTCTCGTGGCATGATTTCGCTCGCGTACAATTTTAATGCAGTATGGAAAAAATTAATCTTTTTCATTATTATTTTAAAAGAAAAATTAGCTACAAGTGTAAATGGATAGAATACATTGGAAAACAGGCAATATGTACATACATGCGCCGCGACGTGCATTATTATTCCTCGTGCGCTAACGAGAATTCTGATTTCGCAAGAAATATTCAGACAATCACCCACGCACGTACGCACACGCACGCACACACACGCACACGCGCACACGCGCGCATACACACACGCGCGCGCGCGCGCGCACACACACACACACACACACACACACATGTATGTCTTTCTATCTTCTTCCAAGCGAAAAGCAAGAATAAACAAAGAGAAGAATAAATTTAAATAAATTCATCTGTGAAATATCCAAATGCGTTTTACTCTGATTTTGCGATGCATCTGAATCAATTGTAGATCATTCGTTCACCTGGTTCAAACACGTTGTCTTCATTCCTCTTGTAAATTGTGGGCTTGGCTTGCACTATGACAATCGTGGCGATGACGCAAAAGAAGAAAATAATCCGAAAGCTCCTCATGTTTTTTTCGTCGCGACCGGTTATCCAAAATCTTGAGAAAGTATTTTCGAAAAATTCCTAAATTTAGTCGCGAGCAATACCTTACGCAGTGATATCCGATACGATACTACTGCGCTCGGCGCTCTTTCACCGTGGACCAAAGCAATTGAAAACACTTGCCGCGAGTGGGGAAACTCGGGGATAAGAGAATTGACGTAATCCGCAGTTCTGTAATTGTAAGAAACTCAACGTGTGTCGCGGTGTATACCGGTGTGTACCGGTGATAACGATGACGAGGAAGTGCCAAAGAGAGAAAGTGATGATCGAGAGAGAAAAATGGATAGGGAATCTCCATCATTATATGCTCTCCGTTCTCTTTTCTCGCGTGAAAGTTTGACTTTTGTGTCGCTGCGTTACAATTTATTCGCTAATTTAGATCGATCTTCATCTATCTTTTTACGTTATGAAAAAATTTAATTTCTTTTAGAGAAATGTCTTATACTTTTTTAAGAGCATTTTGGAAGATTTGGTTTTCTACTTTCTATTATATTCTAAAGAAATTGTGGGGACGTGTGCAATATATTAATACAATTGTTACAAATTATTATATTCGGGCAGAATAAATATTTATGACATTCTAACAATATTTAAAAATAATAATATTTGCACTTTGAGCAATTTGAGCAATTTTATAGATATTCAGTTATACCATTTTCTCACGAAAGCAAACAAGAACAACTTTGAACGAAGTTATACCACGATTTATTTCGCTTGAAAGTGAATCGTGACAGAAACAAGGTGCTCGTAAACGTAGGCCAGAAAGCGTCAAGGATTAATCATTCCTTAGATACGTTGCTTCTCCACTGTGAATATAACACGAAAGATAAAAATCATATATGTATGTATCATGTATGTATCGCAAGAAACAATTAGATCCGCATATATATATATATATATATATATATATATATAAAAATTAATTTAGTTAAGTACACACGCATACATGCACACACTTATATAAACTAAATTAATTATTTATTATAAATTAAACCGAAAAAATACAACAGTAATAAAAAAATATGAAAAAAATATATAGCGTTAATTAGATAGTTCGATAATCAGCAAGCATGACAGGAACATAGTCTAATCTAA